CATCTCCTTCTCTTTCTCTTCCTTCTTTCCTCCTCCTCCCTCGTTCTTCATTAGACGGTGATGGAAAAGGACCATGAATATTAATAGGAGAATTTAGAAAATGAAAATTGCAAATGACATATCTGTCTGAGGTTCTGCTTGAGATTCAAGGCCAGGCAAGTGAAAATTCCGTTTTCTGTCTGTTACACTTCGGGTTTGAAGATAAATGTTTCAGTCTCTGTCTCTGTCTCTATGTCTCTCTGTTTTCCTGCTGCACTCACTTCTTCTCTTTCACTATACTCTCTCTCTCTCTCTCCTCTCTCTCTCTCTCTCTCTCTCTCTCTCTCTCTCTCTCTCTCTCTCCTCTCTCTCTCTCTCTCTCTCTCTCTCTCTCTTCTCGTATTTTTTTTCTCTCGTATTTTCTTCTCCTTGCTCCCTCTCATTCTCTCTCCCTCCCTCCCTCCTCTCCTTCCCTCCCCTTTCTCTCCTTCCTTCACCCTCCCTCCTTCTCTCCTCCTCCTCTCTATCTTTCTACCCTCCCCTCCCTCCCTCTCCCTCTCCTTCTCCCTCCCTCCGTCTTTTTCCCTACTCCCCTCACTCTCTCTCTTTCCTTCCCATCCATCCTCCCTCCCTTCTCCTCGTCTCTCCCCTTTCTCCCTCCCCCCCCCCTCTCTCGCCCCTTCCTCTCTCCCTCTCCCCCTCTTCCCCTTCCCTTTCTCCCTCTCCCTCTCTTTCCCCTTCCCTTCTTCCCTCCTTTCTCCCTTCTCGTATGTCATGACACCAAGGGTATCGTTACTATTAATTGACATTAGTATCAATGGCATTGTACGATTGCAATTGCTGACAATGAGTGAGTCAGTCGTTAATGACTATTTTCCATGTGAACTTTATGCTTAATTAACCTTTAAAGTCGAAGTGTTTATCCTTTGGTTCCTTAAGGGAGGCGAGCTGGTTGGGGTCTGGGTAGGATAAGGGAGATTCGAATCCTATGGGGATTTTTTTCCCTTTTCTTCTCTTCTTCTTCTTCGTCTGTTTTTTTTTCGTTTTCTCCTTCATCTCCCCTCTTGTCTTTCTTGTAGCTGTCGTCGTTTTTGTCATCGTCAAAGTCATGGTTATCATCATCGTGATCGTGATCGTCATCTTTTTCTCTTTCTCCGTTTCTCCTGTTTCCTTTTAAACCCTCTATCTCCTTTGCGTTCCTGCCTTCTTCCCTCGCGCTATCCCTTCCTCTCTTTCCCTCTCCCTCCCTCTCCCTCTTTTCTATTTACTCCTCTTTATCTCTCCCTCTCACCCCTTTCCCCCTTACGTAATGGTATTTTTGTCGCCACCTATTAGTTAATTTGAGAGAAAGAGCGAGTGAGTGAGTGAGTGAGTGAGTGAGTCAGTGAGTGAGATACATAGATAGACAGATAGAAAGGTAGATAGATATATAGATAGATAGATAAATAGATAGATAGATAGATAGATAGATAGATAGATAGATAGATAGATAGATAGATAGATAAATAAATAAAATAGAATAGATAGATAGATAGATAGATACATAGATAGATAAGAGAGAGAGAAGAGAGGAGAGAGAGAGGAGAGAGAGACGAGAGAGAGAGAGAGAGAGAGAGAGAGAGAGAGAAGAGAGAGAGAGAAAGAGAGAGGAGAGTGAGAGAGGGAGAGGGAGAGGAGAGGGGAGAGGGAGAGGGAGAGGGAGGGAGAGGAGAGGGAGAGGAGAAGGAGAAGGGAGAAGGAGAAGGAGAAGGAGAAGGAGAGGGATGAGGAGGAGAGGAGAGGGAGAGAGAGGGAGAGGGAGAGGGAGAGGAGAGGGAGAGGGAGAAGGAGAAGAGAAGGAGAGGGAGAGGGAGAGAGAGGGAGAGGGAAGAGAAAGAGGGAGAGAGAGAGAGAGCGGAGAGAGAGAGAGAGAGAGAGAGAGAAGAGAGAGAGAGAGAGAGAGAGAGAGAGAGAGAGAGAGAGAGAGAGAGAGAGAGAAGGATAGTCAATTCGATAAGCAAACGAGGTTAGATAGCGAGCTACTTAGAATCAGAGGGGAAAAAGTTGACATATTAAACCTCCCATAGAAAGATAAATGCAGCCATTGAAGAGTAAGTTATGTTTGGCAAGCGTTCGGATATGTTGTAATGGCTTGAAAGGGTGGAGGAAAAAAGAGAGGGAAGAAAATAAGGAAGTGGAGGAGGAAGAGAAGGAGAGAGATGAAGATATTGAGAGAGAGGAGGAAGGAAGGAAGGCGGGAAGGGATGGAGAAGAGGAAGGGAGGGAGGGAAGGAGGATTATTATTATTAAAAGAATATTCTATTTATTGTGTATGTTTTTTGTAATTATTTAAGAAGAATATTTATTTATTACCCATTCTTTTAATGTCTGTTTAAGCTAAGTTTAAGGAAATATTTTGAGGATTTGTGGAAAAGCTGGTGAGGTATTCGAAGTAGGGGGGGGGGCGCTGCATGATTCGGAGGGGGGGGGGGTGAAAAGGATTAGGTGAAGGAGTAAAGGGTGTGTGGAGAAGGTGGATTGGAAGATTGAGGGGGGGGGGGTGAGGATAGGGTGGAGGAACGTGGGTGGAAGTAGGAGGGTGGTGGAGGAACGTGGGTGGAAGTGGGTGATGGTGATGGAGAGACACTGGTGGAGGGAGTGGTGGAGGCATGGAGGTGGATGAAAACAGGAGGAAACGTGGCCAGGGTGGAGGGACGTTTTTGGAGGTGGAAGAGTGAGGGTGGACTGGTGGATGGAGCTGCCCCCTCCCGCCCCCACCTCCATTCGCCAGTCCACCATTCATCCCCCCCCACTCCCATGCTGATAGAGTGGGGGAGTGGGGAGTGGGAGGAAATGACGGTTTTAAAATGCATTGTAAATCCCATTTGGCAAATAACAACAACAACAAAATATAATAAATAAAGATGCATATTTTTTTCTTCAATTATATACACACTATTTTCTATTATCCATATTTTTTTTCTAAAAGCTTGATTACTAAATAATGCACCATGCTATTGAGAACTATTAAGACGATTTCCAAATATGTGTCTTTGTACATTTCAATCTTACTGAATTTTAATACATTTTTCTCTCTCTTTCCAGCTGCCACCAGGAATGTCAGAGAGCTGGCCATGTTTGACTAAAAGGACAGCTGAGCGACTCAAGTGAGAAAGGGAAATAAAAGAAAAAGAAAAATTAAATAGTAAAAGGAAAAAGAAAAGTGGGAATAAAGAAAAAGAAAAAAATTGTGACGTTTGTGAAGCGAAATTTGATGGTGAATGAAGTGACCAGAGGGCAGTGAATCGACGGAGAGAGAAAGGGAAAGAAGAGAGAATAAGAAAGAGTGAAAGAAAGGCGATAGATAGAGCGTGAGAGAATCGATACAGAAAGTGGCGAACATTTTGGCAAAAGGTTTTTCGCGAGGTGAGGTTCGAGCACCATTGCTGACACGTGCAACTGGAGGAAAGGAAAAGAAATAAAAGCAAAATAACAAACAATAAAAAAATCCTCCGAATGCAACCAGAAGCTAACATCTAAAAGTAGAGAAAGAGAGACAGATAAAAAAAGAAAAAGAAGAAAGAGAAAAGAGAAAGACACCCAAGACCAGAAGAGATAGAAAAAACAACAAAAAGGCAAAAGTAAAAAAAAGAAAGCAAACACAAACAAACAAACAGAAAAAAAACGTTTTGATCTTCGAGAGATCAGTCAGTGCTTAATCCTTTGTGATTCTTAGGCTCAACGTTTTTGACCTCTGTGGGGTTGGTTGTCTCAATGCGTCTCAACGTTCTTGTTGAATAGGCGTTCGTCCTCCTGTGGTTGGCGACGACTTAGGCTTCGTAGAAAGAAATCTCATTGTTGTGTTTTATTTTTCTTTCAATTCTTTGCTATTTTCGCTCTCAATCGGCTTGTGTCAAGGTTGTGTTTGTTCAGATATATATACACATATATTCTATGAAGGCATTTTTTTGGGACATAAGGAAAATATTTTAAAAAAGGAGATTTTAAGATATTGCTAAATGTATGTGTTGTCCTTTAAAAAATATAATTGTCATTAAGTGGGATTTTTATTCTCGCCTGTGATATTGCCACCAAATCATCGTTGGTTCCATTGCTGTTTGTAAAACTGGTGTTCGTCGTTGTGGACTATTAAAAAAAAAGTTGAAAAAAGCCAGTGTTATTCCTATAGGCTTCTAGAGCTCCACTGAATACAACTTGATCCGTTTTTTTATACATATATATACGTGTATAGAAGGGACAATACATGTATGATACAATGCATTTACGATTTCAATGACTGTGTTGACATTCTGATCGTGTTTACATAGAGCGTTTGAAATCCACCCTCCCCCCACCCCCTTGACATCACCCCCCCCTTAGAATCTTACAGTCCTCTCTTCCGAACCGAAAAAAACAAATAGAAAGAAAAAAAAAAACAACACACGAAAAAACAAGAAAACTAAAAACAACAGCAAATAAGCCAAGCCGTTAAGAAGAAGAAAAAGAAAATTATTTAAGAGTATCGCGCTTTCCACCAAAACTACCGTAGCGAAGGAAGATCTTTTAAATATTTTTTCTGAGGGAGACCAAGACACTCGCGCTAAGAAAGAGTCCAAGCTGCCGGAAGAGACGACCTTCATGAGGAGGAATCAGGAGGAGGATCAGCGACGGCGGAGGCGGGGGCAGCAGGGGATCCGAGCCTACGACGGCGACGAAGGTGACATCTAGCGGCGGGATAAGGAACTGCTGTGGTCGTGTGGCGTCGGGAGTGAGAGAGAGAGATAGAGAGAGTGAGAGAGAGAGAGAGTATAGTCGTCTCGCTTTTGTTGTCCGCTGACTGGCTGACTCGCCGAGCACGTTCACGGAAGCGCTGTCGGTTTTACAGCAGCGCTCTTCGGCGAATCAGCACAAACACAGCGCTTCTCTCCTCTTTCCCTCCCCTACCTTCTTCCTTGCATACTAACACCGCCTCCTGTAGCCCTGTGAGGAAAAAGTAAAAAAACTACTGCTACTAACTACTAACCAACCGCTACTACTAACAGCGCCTCGTTGAGTAAGCCTCGCGAGGAAAATTGGACGAGGAATATATGCAAGAAAAAGAGGACACAGTCATCCTGACCATGACAGGGAGATATTGTACGACGTCTGTCTCTTAAGGAGGAGAAAGGAGTAAGGAAAAATAAAGTACTCGGTACGCAGTGTCCCTTTAAGACCACTCGATAGTACAGGTCTGAATAGGAAGACGCAGAGAGAAAAGAAGAGGGACAGAAAGAGAGAGGATAAGAGTCGAGACAGAGCAGAGACACAAGTGAGAGACAGAGTGGGCGGTCCTCCGCGAACACGACGAAGATTCCTGCTCCTGCTCCCGCTGTGTCCTTCCAGCTGCAGCGCCCTTCGCTCGGACGCCTCGCCTCGCCCGACATGGTGAAGATGCTGGCCCGACGCGGCGGCCTCCGACTGGCCATCCTCGGCCTGCTGGCGGCCTGCGCCCTCGTCTACGTCTACTACTACTCCTCGGCGCCCGCCAGCCCCCACATCCTGAAGGACAAGCCCCAGGACGCGGCGAGGGGCGGCGCCGCGGGGGAGAGGAGGGCGGAGCGGCAGAGCGACGGAGGGGCCGGAGGGGAAGGAGGGGGAGGAGGGGCTGGAGGGGGCGACGCCGCATCAGCTGACGGGGGGCAGGCGACCCCCTCGCACCAGTGCAAGGACATCCAGGCCCCCAAGACGGACGTCAACACCGTCGACCAGTTCCCCAAGTTCGAGTTCCAGGTAAGAGCCCTTTGGGGTGTCGCTCTGGAGGGAGGGAGGGAGGGGAGGGGAGGGGAGGGGAGGGAGGGAGGGGAGGGAGGGGAGGGGGGAGGGAGGAGGGAGGAGGGGGAGGGAGGATGGGGAGGGGAGGGGAGGGGAGGGGAGGGGAGGGAGGGATAGGGAGGCGAGGGGATGGGGGAGGGGAGGGGAGGGGAGGAGAGGTAGAACAGGGGAAAGAAAAGGAGAGAGAGAGAGAGAGGAGAGAAGAGAGAGAAGAGAGAGAGAGAGAGAGAGAGAGAGAGAGAGAGAGAGAGAGAGAGAGAGAGAGAGAGAAGAGAGAGAGAGAGAGAGAGAGAGAGAGAGAGAGAGAGATCGCAAGATTTTGAGAGGTCGAGAGCGAGATCGAGAGCGAGACAGAGGGCGAGCAAGAGAAGTTAGAAGTTATCAAAGGAAAGAGGTTATAGAATCCCCTCTCCCTCTCTCCCTCTCCTCCCCTCCCTCCCCCCCCCCCCCACGACCCCGAACACTTAGACCTTCGGAGTGTGCAATGCATCTCGCTCTTGCATTTGTGTTGCAAGGGAAGGGCCGCCTGTCTTTGAGTCTCCGCGTCGCATTATATTGCCTCCAGAGTTCTCTCTTGTGTTGTAAGTGTTGCTGAGCCTGCTTGGGGTTGGTGGTGGGGGGGGAGGGAGGGAGGGAGGGAGGAGGAGGGAGGAGAGGGAGGGAGGGAGGGAGGGAGGGAGAGGGAGGGAGGGAGGGAGGGAAGAGGGAGGGAGGGAGGAGGGAGGGAGGGAGAGGGGAGGGAGGGGGGGAGGGAGGGAGGGAGGGAGGGAGGAAGAGGGGGAGGGAGGAGGAGGGAGGGAGGAGAGGAGGAGGAGGGAGGAGGGAGGGAGGGGAGGGAAGAGGGGTGGGAGAGGGAGGGAGGGAGGGAGGGAGAGGAGGGAGGGAGGGAGGGAGGAGGGAGGGAGGAGGGAAGAGGGGTGGGGAGAGGGAGGGAGGGAGGGAGGGAGGAGGGAGGGAGGGAGGGAGGGAGGAGGGAGGGTGGGTGTGGGTGGGTGGAGAGCGGGAGGAAGGGAGGGGAAGGGGTGGGAGGAGGGAGGAGTGAGGGAGAGGGAATGGGGGATAGGAGAGGGAGGGAGGAAGGGGGGTTGGGAGAGGGAAGGGAGGGAGGAAGGGAGTGGGGAGAGGGAGGAGAGAGGGAAGGGGGTGGGAGAGGGGAGGGGGGAGGAGGGAAGGGGGGTGGGAGAGGGAAGGAGGGAGGGATGGGGTGGGAGAGAGAGGGAGGGATTGGGGGATGGGAGAGGGAGATAGGGAAGGGGAAGGTAGGGAAGCGGGGAGGGAGAGGAAGGGTGGGGGAATGTGATAGGGGAGGGGAGAGAAATTGGGGAGGAAGGGAAGGAGGGAAGGAGGGAGGGTGGGGTAAAGGAATGCCTTTATTTATTTCACAGTTTGCTTAATCCATTAATTTGTTTTATTCGTATAATTCTTTGTATTATTTTCCAGACATTTTTCTAAATAAATATACACTTGCCTATTTAATTATCCACTTAAGTAACAATTAAGTAACTCATATGTAATTGCTGTGAGTTAAGAAGAAAGAAAAAAATGAATGAATAACTGGGACAAGGCGACGAATAAAGGAAACATAAAGAGAGAATAAGAGAATGGTTGAAACAAAAGAGAGGAAACCAGGTAAAGTTTGGAAAAGGGAAGAAATAAAGGAACGAAAGGAAAATAAAAAAGGGAAGAAAAACGAACGAATGAGGGAAATGAGAAAGAGAAAAAACTAAACAAAGGGTAGAGGGAATATCGGAAGTGAGAAAGGAGGAGAAGGGAACGAATGGAGAGGAAGAAGAAGAGGAAAAAGAAAAGAAAGAGTTGGAGAGGAAGAGAATTAAAAAGAAAAAAGAAAAAAAAAACGGGAAAAAATACAAAAAAAAAAAAGAGTCAACAAGCGAAAGAAGGGGAAGGAAAAGAGATGAAGCAGAAGAAAAGAAGAGGGAAAAAAAGAAGAGGAAGGGAAGGGATAGAGTGGAAGAAGAGGGAAAAAAAAGAGGAAGGGAAGGGATAAGAGGAAGAAGAGGGAAAAAAGAACAAGAAAAAGAAATATACCGAAAAATTGGCCCGAAGGAAAGAAGAGGGAGTCGACAAGCTTGTCAGGAGATGGCTCTATAATATTTTTTTCATTCTCTTTTTTTCCCTTTTTTTTTCGGAGGAGGAGGAGAGAGAGGAGAGAGAGAGGGAGAGGAGGAGAGAGGAGAGGAGGGAGAGGAGGGAGAGAGGAGAGGAGGAGAGAGGGAGGGAGGGAGAGAGGGGAGGAGGGAGAGAAGGAGAGGAGGGAGAAAGGGAGAAAGAGGAAGAAGAGGGAGAGAGGGAGAGAGGGAGAGGGGGAGAGGGGGAGAGGGAGAGGAAGGGAGAGGAGGGAGAAAGGGAGAGAAGGGAGGGGGGGAGAGGGGGAGAGGGGAGAGAGGAGGGAGAGAGAGAGAGGAGAGAGGAGAGCGGGAGAGGGGAGAGGGGGAGAGGGGGAGAGGGAGAGGGGGAGAGGGGAGAGATGAGAGGAGAGAGAGGAGAGAGAGAGAGAGAGAGAGAGAGAGAGAGAGAGAGAGAGAGAGAGAGAGAGAGAGAGAGAGAGAGAGAGAGAGAGAGAGAGAGAGAGAGAGAGAGAGAGAGGAGAGAGAGGAGGAGAGAGAGAGAGAGAGAGAGAGAGAGAAGAGAGAGAGAGAGAGAGAAGAGAGAGAGAGAGAGAGAGAAGAGAGAGAGAGAGAGAGAGAGAGAGAGAGAGAGAGAGAGAGAGAGAGAGAGAAGAGAGAGAGAGAGAGAGAGAGAGAGAGAGAGAGAGAGAGAGAGAGAGAGAGAGAGAGAGAGAGAGAGAGAGAGAGAGTAGAGAAAGAGAGAAAGATAGAGAAAGCGAAAGAGAGAGAAGAAAAAAAACGAATGAATGAAAGAAAAGGGAGAAGAGAACGCCCTCGCACACATGAACGTACGTAGAGAAGGAGGAGAGGTGCGTGGGCGCTCTCTCTACAACATCAGGAACATTCATCACGCACCGACAGCGGCGTTGACACATCTCTTTTGGGTCTCGACAGATCGCTTACATCACAAAAAGCAGGTTGCGTTGAAGTCTTGTCTAGCATGCCATCTTTTCGGTCTGTCTGTCTGTCTGTCTGTTTGTTTGTTTGTTCTCTCTCTCTCTCTCTCTCTCTCTCTCTCTCTCTCTCTCTCTCTCTCTCTCTCTCTCTCTCTCTCTCTCTCTCTCTCTCTCTCTCTCTCTCTCTCTCTCTCTCTCTCTTTCTTTCATCCTCCCCTCTCTCTTCTTGTCATCTCTTCTTTCATCTTCCTGTTTCTGTATCTTTCTCTTTCTTCTCCTCCCTCTCCCTCTCTTTCTTCTCTGTTCTCCCCCCATCTCCCCTTCTGTTCTCTCTCTTTTCTCATCCCCTATCTCCTTCTCTCATTCCATCCCTCTCTTTCCCACTCCTTCTCACCCTGTTCATCTTTTCTTTCTTCCCCCTCTCCTTATCCCTCTTCCCCTCCCCCTCTCTCTCTCCCCATCCATCCCCTTCTCCCTCTCCTTATCCCTCTTCCCCTCCCCCTCTCCCTCTCCCCATCCATCCCTCTTTTTGCGTATGCCTCTCCTTCTCCTTATCCGGACTTCGAGACGGATGCGCGGATGAGATGG